AACTGATATCTATTAAAAATGGCATTCTCAACAGCACATTGCCAGCATGTTCCCCCACAAAAATAGCCTTGGTTAAAAAAAATAGTAATTTTTGCACATGATGAGAAATTTGCAAAAGAGATTGTGTGGCATTAATCTAACAAGGTCGTTGACTTTGAGCAATCTACAAAACTTCATCAGGTAATTAAAGAAGCTCTCTGCATTCCTAACCAAGTCAAAACACCAGCTATTAAACTACTCAGAACAATTATGCCTAAAATGAACATTTCCTATGCAAAAACATTTTTATCTCTTTTGAAGACTAACAAAGACTAGGAAAGCCTAAGATGCAAGAGATTAGTAACTATCACTTCAATAGCTTTTGGATTATTGAGTTATGGTTAGTGGATGGCCTCTAATAGGAATGAGAGTAAGTTCATTAGCCTGAGTCATAAGTGGTCAGGAAAATCTTATTTTATTTTTATTTTTAAGCTGCAGAATATGATGCCGTGGAAAATGGACCCAAATACTACCTGTAAGGTTGGTTGGTATGGATTGGAGCTCTCCAAGTAGCTTAAGAGCCACGTGGAAGGCTGAAGACAGAGATAAACTTTCTACTTTTCAGTTTGCTGGTCTACCCTAGAGCAAATTCATATTATAATAACCCTTAATGTTGGCATTTGCACTGTATCGCTATAAGTCAGAATATAGATGTTTTTCGAGAGATTACAGGGATCTGGTAGGAGTTCTTCACAAATATAAATGGACTGAACAGATTTTGCGCCTGCAATATTTATGACATATCATGTATAATATTTATATGTAAGGTTAATAAATTCTACATAGAAAAGGTTAATAAATGAATCGACAAGATTTGGTACCAGAACACGAAGTAGACTAAGACACTATGTAAATCATGTGATTATAAAGGACATCCTCACATTTTGATAAAACAGACAGAAATCTACATTATTTCCTTTTCCCTGAAGAAAATAGAACTTCACATTAGCTGAAGTGAAAGTTTGGTATCTTGATGGGGCTCTGCTTTGTCATTGTCCTTGGAATGTTCCCTAAAGTGCACAGGAAAATTCTCTTCTGAATACAGAATGAGGTAAGGTTTTAGCAAAGCCTTGTAGAAACTTATGTCTTTTAATCTCTAGGATAGAATTGCAGGGTAGCAAAGATTTGGCTGAAAGCAGACAGGTTTGGTATTTAATTCATTTACTTAAATGAAATAAAAAAGCAAAAGCATGGGAATGCTAAGGTCCCATGTGTAGAAAGTATTTGCCTTGGGTGACAAATACTTTTTCTAAATTCTGATTGTGTGGATTCTATTTCAGGATGGGATCTTCTTTGAAGCTTTAAAAATTAAATACTCAGCTATGACACAAGCCTGATGACCTTTGGCCAAGGATTCAGTTCAATCTTATAAATCAGAAATTCAAATGTCAAATCACCCTTGATTTATCCAGCTTTGGATATTGGCATTTAGGGACCTATCCTGTCTCACCCTAGAGGGAGATTTTTAGTCATTTGGAGGCATATTCTCAGAAGCTTATCTAGTCTAAGAATATATATACAATTGCTTTATGGAATTTTTTTTATAGGAATGGGGAGCTTCTTCGACAGCACTAGTTTATGTGAGCTAAGGGACTGAAAGGCCAGCGAAGTCTTTGATAGGGGAAAATCCACAAACTTCCTAGACCAAGTTTCCTACAGAGGCTGGCTCAGTGGGAAGCTGTTCACCTAGGCAGAACTACTCTATATTTTAATGTGAAAATGTATTAGATGTAGATAAGAGAGCTTCATGCTTAGTCATGAGCAGAGAGATTTGGGAACAAATTACACTGCAGGGCAAAGTAGGGTCAATGAACGAGTTTGTCATTTAGACAAGTCCATGGATGGGGTAAGGTTTTCATCTGAGTGAGCTCTTTGGACAGGATGAGAGGTTCAGGTGGGGACAATAATCTTAAATTGAAGGAAATGGCACTAGTTTCTGAGTTTTATTTAGTATACTCAACAGAGGCAGGAAACTGTCCACGCCACCCTGCTCTTCCTTAGTGAGCTGAGCAAAGGACTGAAGCTTGTTCTCAGCCGACACTGAGGCAGTCAGTGAGGCTTATGGACAGGGAACGAGGCAGGCTCCTTGTCTGTGTGGGAATCTGAACTTTCAGGGAGTCCTTGGTCACCTAAGGAGGATCATTTTGTTTTTTTCTGATGGGAGTGGGGATAATCCAGTACATACAAATACTTCCTTTCTAGAAAATGATACAAAGTATTATTTTATACATAGTTAGGAGACATTCAAAAGAATCCTCTTTGTTTTGCTCAGTATTTATTTATAAATTTCCCTCAGGGTGGTAAAAACTTGTTAAATACAGATTTGACCAGGGATGTGCCTCTGTACTGTCCAGATGTCCACATGGCGATGTGAATTTAATCCTCAAGGTCTTTATTTATCCATGCTGGCATCCATTGAGATGCCAAGTATTTAACCACGCAGATTGTTGTCAATCTTCTCTCATTCTTGACCTTAAGGTCTCTTAAGGAACAGCTTTCTCTCAGCTCTCCTATGTCTCCTCTCAAGGGGCAAGCCCTATGTGGCTGCCTCAGGCTGTCTGCCTAAACTCGTCACTCAACCGTTTTTGTTCTGTGGTCCTGCCACTGCACTGAGTTCTATCTGGGAGTGGGGCGTTGATTCTGTTGCTCTCACATCCCTCAAACTGAGGCTCTGTCGATCTCCCTCCTCCCTGGGGCTCAATCTTGGGTGAATAGTAGAGGGGTAGTCACAATGTATGGGGCTCCTTCTTAGGAACAGTAATATGCACAGATTATTTTAGCTTTAGATAACAGAAATCCTCACCAACAGTGGTTTAAACTATTAATTATCTCATACAACAGGAGGCCTGGAGATGCAGGCCAGGACTCGCATAGCAGCTTAACTATACAACCAAGAATTCGTCTAACTGCCATACCTCCACTTCGTTACCCTTAGCTGTTGGCTTTTGTCATTGTGTTTGTCACCATTGTGGTTGTCATGTTCACAAGATGACTGCCACACCTACAGGTGTCACATTCATGGTCAAGATGGTAAAAAGGAGTAGCACCAACTACCAGAGTGGAACATATTCCACTCTATCAGAAAAACTAAAGCTTTCTCAGAAGCACCACCTGAAAATTTTCATTATACTACATTGTCCAGAAGTATGCTGTAAATGCGCAGAACCATGTCCAGAGTTAGCAAGTGAAACTAGGAAAGTGAGTATATGGATTTCTAGCCTCTACAGTTGAAGGTTGCAAGGAAACTGGGGGTTGAGAATGTTATTGGGTTTCCAACTACCAATATCTGGCATAAGAACACATGAATAGCTAAGTTCTCACTTTTCCTCTAACTATCTTCACTCCCCATAATCCCAGAAAATTTTGTATAGCTTCTCTAGGACAGATACTGAGTTGGCTTACTCAATATCCATTTCCAATCACCTTCTCCATTGCTTTTCTCTACTCTTTAGGTAAGAGATATTGAAATGCTTGATTTCTCATCTTCTCTTGCTTCTAAGGGTGGTTGTGTGACCTGGTTGTAGCCAATCTGATGTGTATGTGGTTTCCTTTCCCAAATAAAATAGGCAAAGACTCACTAGGGAAAGCTCTTTATCTTTCTCATTCCCCTCTCTTTCTGTGTAGAACATAGCCTTGATGCCTGAAGGTGCAGTCACCATCTTATGACTGTGAGGGGACAAAAATAAGGACACCAACATCATGGAACAAAAAGAATGAATATGGGACATAATAACACAGTGGTTCCACTGCATCAGACCTGTAGGGTCTACCCCTGACTTTTCCTACATGGCTAATATATTCCTACTTGTTTAAGACAATGGTAGAGTTTTCTGCTTCTTTTGGCTTACAATTGATTAAAATTGAGCTGATAAATGTTTAAAAATTAATATAATTGAGAAGAATATCATAAAATAATAAAGTGATATAAAACAATAAGCTAAAAGAGTCAAACCTAGGGTAAGAGTAAACAAAGCTGATGAAACAATAACGTTGTGAGATGGGGGAGAAAAAGCAAGGAACTGATTTTTTTTCAGGGCTTATCAAATTAAACGTACCTTGCTGGTAATATCTCATTGAATCCTTACAATAATTCTTTGAAGTTGATATGTTGTACCTGTATTAAAGACAAGGAAATTAAAGATCATATTAGAGGAGAATAAACAATGATTATATAACAAACTCTCTATAGATAAGAACCAAATAAAAGAAGTTAAAACCAACCTTAGACAATATTATGGAGAATGTGAGGGTAAACCATTCTACACCCTAAGTGATCCTTTTGCTGCGTCTGGCTTCTTGTATCAGCTTTCCAGCTTTCTCTCCTACAGCCGTTTCCTTCACTCTCTCACAGTTTTGGATGTAGAGATACTTCCTTCCACCATGATAAATTCCACGTCCTTCCTCAAGCTTTGTCTCACTTAAGTTCCTTCTTGAACGAAACTTGCTTCATTAGACCTGCTTTCTGATTTACCTAAACTTTTTCGAGACTAGCTAAGCACTGCGACTTCTCTTTCAGGGAACAACACAGCAGTAAATATCAACACAAAGCAGAGTATTATTGTAGATCAGGGAATACAATAAAGATGCAGGGACGAAAAAAAAGGGAAAATCATTAACAGTGGCAGTGTTTAAGCGTCTCTATTCTGCGCAGGGAGAAAACCTGGAGTCATTTTCAAGTTCCAGCATTTCCTACTTCTTTTTAGTCGGGTCAAGGCTCTAAACTTTCTAAGTCTGTTTTCTTACTAATAAAAAGCGGACTCTATAGAGTAAGAGTCTCCTACCTACCTACTCCAGGACTTCTGTGAAGACAAAATGAGATGAGGTTTGCGAAAACGCTTCACAACCGTTTGGTAAAACGCTGTAAAATGTTTGTACCTGGCTAGACACGAGACCGCGACAAGTTGGGCCCCTGGGCTGCAGAAACTCAGGCGGCTAGTTGCTAGGTTGAGGCAGCCGAACGTTGCCACGTGACGTCATCAGCCCGCGCCCGCCGCGACGGTTTCCGGGCTGGGTTCGGGGCAGCGCTCCGCGCCATGGGGTCTTGGCAGCGTTTGCTGCTTTTTCGTGGGGTGTCGCTTCGGGGTGGTGCCAGGGCCTGTGCCCCGCTTTGCGGACGCCAGATGTTGGTTTGTTGGCGCCAGGTCCGTGGTGCTGCAGGCCAGGGGAGGCGGGCGGGTCGGATGCTGGGGCGGCAGGGTCGCAGGTGCCCTGACATGAGGGCCCTCAGTCCCTCGTGGGACCCCGCCCAATTGGCGGCCCACCGGGACCCAGGTTGGCTGCACGTCCCCACTTTCCAGGCAGGCCCCGGTAGGACCAGGCCGAGGCGTGTAGGGACACGAAATAGATGGTTAGAATATGGATGTGTGACTTGCACGTTGCTTTCTTAGTGTTGGTTTATTTAGAAAATAGGGAGAAGGAAAACACGCAGAGTTTTCCGTTTTTAACGTCATTGTATCCTGGCAGATAAATTTCAACTTAAACAATCTGTCTCTACCATGGTGATCAGTAGCAGTAGGTAAATAGCACTAAAGGCTAGTGGAGATGAGCAGAATTAGACTAGAAAAGAAAGACCTCTTGATCACGAACTCCAAACTGTTTTTACTTTTACAGCATGATAATGGAGATGGCTTTTTTTTTTTCTTCCCAAGTTATCTGGCGCTGAGAGTGAGACCCTAAAACAAAGAAGAACACAAATCATGTCCCGAGGACTTCCAAAGCAGAAACCAATAGAAGGTGTCAAACAAGTTATAGTTGTGGCTTCTGGAAAGGGTGGAGTTGGAAAGTCTACCACAGCAGGTATTATAGGATATTAATTCTAATCTTGATTAGGAACTTATGCCAATTGACAAGTGCACAGTTTTAAAATTATAGTTTTGTTTTTGAAAAAGCTAGTATTTGTGGAATTCTTAATAGCTGATTCCTTAGTCTCAGGAGTTGGTGGTGATTAGAGGCTTAGAATGGAGTTAGACAAAACTAGGTACAGGGGCTGGCTCCGTGGCCGAGTGGTTAAGTTCGCGCGCTCCGCTGCAGCGTCCGGGGGTTCGGATCCTGGGCGCGGACATGGCACCGCTCGTCAGGCTACGTTGAGGCAGCGTCTCACATCCCACAACTAGAAGGACCTGAAACTAAGATATACAACTGCGTACAGGGGGGTTTGGGGAGATAAAGCAGGAACGAAAAAAAAAGATTGGCAACAGTTGTTAGCCCAGGTGCCAATCCTTAAAATAAATAAATAAATAAAATAAAATAAAATAAAAAAGATTGGCAACAGTTGTTAGCCCAGGTGCCAATCTTAAAAAAAAAAAAGCAAAAAAACTAGGTACACAGCTGGGTCTCTGACTCCTTAACTGAGGAGAAGGTGGTCAGGTTGCCCATCGGATCTTCAGTTTACTTAACTGTAAAATGGTAATGATGATAATTTTTTTCATAGGATGGCTATGCGAATTAAACAAGCTAACTCCTTAGTCCAGTGTCTCCTACATAGCAAGTGCTCAATGTTTGATTGCTGTTATTGTCATTTTTAAAACATCTAGTAACTTTAAGGCTAAATTATTTCTGTTCTTTGATGTTCTTTTCCAGTCTTTATCAGTGTACATATAGCTATGTAGTTGGAATGAGATTGTTGACATTATCGTGACCTTTTTTCATTTAACTATAATATAATTTTCAACATTTATAAAGTCAACATAGATCTGGTGTTTGAAAATGCTTGAAAGGTTTAACATTGTTTTAATTATTTAAAATATCATCTAATCTTTATATCTTTTGTATTCATGTACAGAAAATTGTTTTTGGTGCCTCTTTTTAAATTGACTATAAATTTCAGTGTGATTGAAATGCTGCTTTCAGAACCCATAAAAGAAGTGCCACCAGAAATAGAAGAGTTACCATCCAAGACTAATAACCAGATATTCCCAAAAGTGTTCAAAAGAAACTTTTTATTTCCTAAAAACTTATTCCAGTGTAATAATGTGGAAGGTAACTTCTCTCCTCCCAATCCTGCTCAACAGAGGTCGTTTGTATTATTAATTTGGAGTTGTAAAGCACTTATGTCTTATTGTTGGCTCATATTCAATTTTCACTCATTTCAATAGGAATGGTTGCTCATTCAGGTCCTATCCAATCTATCTTTTTTGCAGTTGATTTTTAGAAAATGACCATTCTTATTATATTTCATTTTGTTAATTTTGGCATAATTCTAAACTGACAAAATCTTTTAAATTTTGATTTTTTTCTATTAACCTAAAGTCGGGCATATATTTACCTTAAAATTCTTTAGTTCCATTGAAATCAAAGACATTTTAAAATAAGAAGGGCCAGGTACAGAGTACTGTGACTATAACTAGACGTCTTATGTCTTGACTTAAAGCCGTATTCGGTACTTCCTGGGAAAAGCAGTTTAATAGTTGTACAACCAGCTATAAATCCCACTGTAGAGTCTTATTCACTTTTTTTCCCGTTTTGACCTGAAGGTAACTGTGGAAGAGTTTTTCAGATGTTTTGAAGAAATGAAGTTTTACCAACTATTGTAGCTATGATAGACCCTTAATACATTACTATTTGATAGGTACTATATTATTATTAAAAAATGATTAGTGATTGTTCTTAAGGAATTAATGCTATAACCTATACATTTTTGCTTTTTTCCTAAGAGCCTATGATCCATCTATTTGATGTTTTGCTTTTAAAATTTAGAAGCTCTTAGTCTTTGGTTCTAGAATCCACCTGTTCTTGTTTTAAAATGTGGAGTAAAGTTACCTGTTTTCAGTGGTATGAGTCCTTTTGCATGCTCCATGGTTATTTAGACTGGTTAAAGATGGAAATTTTAAAATTTATTTTCAGGATGATTGCTGTAAGTTCTTTGAGTTTTGTGCAATGTAATTTGTGGGATCCGTAGGCTAGCACTTTCCTTAAACAGATTGTTTATTGTTTTTGGTTAGAAGATCATCTATTGCCATGGAATGTGACAGCATTTAAATAGGAAAATATAGGAGAAAATGTATAGTGTTTGACACATAGTAGGTGTTTCAGTAAATGTCCCTTCCTTGCTTTTTTCTTTGTTAATATTATACCATCTGTCCAAAACAACTGGCCTATACTTTTTTGTAACAGCTCTATCTGCATACATAAGCCTTAGAAACAGATTATTTCTGTGTAACTCTGGTATTATATTTCTTTCTCTTATGTTACTTATTTCTGTCCCAAACTGTCTCAGAATATTTCCTATTTGAATATGTATGCTAGAGATATTTTGTATTAGAATGGTGACATTTGATTAATACAAGCATGCTCTGTGTGATTCTACTGTATAAATGCAGGAAGACCCTACCGTTAAAATGAATTTCTCTCTAAGTTTCTGCTTAGAAGTTGGATTATATTTCACCTATGATGTATCTGAAATTCAGAATTATTTTGTAATTTATAACAATTAATTTATCAGTGCTGGTCCCATGGCGCAGTGGTTAAGTTTGGCATGCACCACTTTGGTAGCCTGGGTTTGCGGGTTCGGATCCTGAGTGTGGACCTACACCACTCATCAGTCATGCTGTGGTGGCTACCCACATATAAAGTGGAAGAGGATTGGCATAGTTGTTAGCTCAGGGCTAATCTTCCTCAAGCAAAAGAAGAAGATTGGCAACAGATGTTAGCTCAGGGCTAATCTTCCTCAGGAAAAAAAATTCATTTATCAAATGCCATGCCCCAGGCTAAGTACTTTACATACAGTATTTCATTTAATTCTCACAACAGTTATGACATAGGAGTTATCCTCATTTTATAGAGGAGGACACAGAGTTGGGAGTAAAATATCCTACTCAAAGTTATACAGTAGAAGGTGGTGGAACTGGGATTTGAAGCAGGTCTGTCTTGAAGACTTAGGCTCTTAAAGACTTTAAAGGAAACAACCTTGGCATCATTTATAAAATAGTTCTGTAAGAAAACATGATCCACAGTATGAGGATCTATTTATTTATCAGTCTTGGAAATGTGTTACTTTCAGACCTCGCCTTCATCTCAGATGTAGCGTATCCCTATCGCTGGGCTAAGGGTGCTTTTGGGATTACTACTTCCTCCTTTATGTCTTTGTGACTCAGTGGCATAGGCAGTTTTGGGAATGTTTTACTGCCTTACCTCTTACCTTCTTCCCTTCCCCCTGCACAGTGGTCCAGCCTTTCATATACGTGGGTGTTTGTGAGTTAGATATTTGGAATTCCTGCAAAAGGCAATAGGATCGTATCCATTTTTATTTATTAAAAGGTAGATAATTTTATGCAAAATATGTTTTTGAAAATAATTGAACTATAGGGGCTGGCCTGGTGGTGCAGTGGTTAAGTGTGCATGTTCTGCTTTGGCGGCCTGGGGTTCGCCGGTTCAGATCCTGGGTGCAGACATGGTACTGCTTGGCACGCTATGCTGTGGTAGGTGTCCCACATATAAAGCAGAGGAAGATGGGCACGGATGTTAGCTCAGGACCAGTCGTCCTCAGCAAAAAGAGGAGATTGGCAGCAGTTAGCTCAGGGCTAATCTTCCTTGGAAAAAAAAAAACAAATTAAAAAAAAAAAGGGGCTGGCCCAGTGGCACAGCAGTTAAGTGTGCATGTTCAGCTTCTCGGCGGCCTGGGGTTCGCTGGTTCAGATCCTGGGTGCAGACATGGCACCGCTTGGCAAAAGCCATGCTGTGGTAGGCATCCCACATATAAAGTAGAAGAAGATGGGCACGGATGTTAGCTCAGGGCCAGTCTTCCTCAGCAAAAAGAAGGGGATCGCCAGTAGTTAGCTCAGGGCTAGTCTTCCTAAAAAAAAAAACAAAAAACCGGAAAATAATTAAACTATAAATACCATTAACATTGTTTTTTATAAACTAAGTGAATTATTTAAACAAAGTTGTAACATTATAAATGGATTATTTACAATGTTAATTTTGGGGCAGGTGTCTGTTGCTTATGCTGGAATATTACTTTCTTTTTTTGTCTTTTTTGCTTTTTGTATTCTCTCCATGTCCTTGGTTTTTTTTTTTTTTTTTTTTCTTTACAAGGGAGATATATTAAAAACTTCTGTGCTTTGGTTATTACATTGAAAATATTAAAAGGCAAAATGAATTTTGGTAGAAGGAAAGTTACTAAATTTAATTTCTGTTTTTGTTTCTTACAGTGAACCTTGCACTTGCACTAGGAGCAAATGATTCGGTAGGTGTTTATTAATAGAAATATTAATTTATTAAAATGTTTTTTAAGACAATGACAAAGAAAAAATTGATGTTTTTCATTTACTGTTGGAAACTATGTACCATGGCTCTAGTCATTTGCATGTCTTTAAGAAACTCAAAAATCTGCTGTAAGTACTGGTTACATTTAATAATGATGAAAATAGAAAGGAACTGTTGGTCGAGAAATTGAGGCAGGGGCCCGCTCCAGGGCCTAGTTGTTAAGTCTGGCGCACTCTGCTTCGGTGGCCTGGGTTCAGTTCCCTGGTGTGGACCTACTTCACTCATTGGTGGCCATGTTGTGGTGGTGACCTCCATACAAAATAGAGGAAGATTGGCACAGATGTTAGCTCAGGGTGAATCTTCCTCAGCAAAAACAAAAGCAAAAACACAAACACGAAATTCAGGCAGCCCCTAGAAGCTAGAAAAGGCAAGGAAATGGATTTTTCCTGAGGGCCACCATAAGGCAGGTAATCCTGCCAACACCTTGATTTTAGCTCATTGAAACCCATTTTGGATTTTTTTTATAATTTCTTATAGTAGAAGTAGGAAACTGATACATAAAGGAAGTCAATTTTTTAGTTCTAGAATTTCCAAAGATGTCTTATTTTGGTTTTATATTTGATAGTTTGGCTGTAGAATACCAAGTTCAAAATAATTTCCTCTCTGAACCTTGAAAACAGTATTCTCTTCTAGCGTGCTAATGAGATGTCCAATGCTAGGCTGTTCATATTGCTTTGTAATAACCTGTGTTTTTCCCCGCAAAGCTTTTAGAGTTTTCTTGATGTCTTGTAAGTTTAGAAATGTCACAAATATGTGACTAGCTGTTGCCTTTAAAATTTTTTTTCTGCTTGGAAATTGGCCAGGCAGTATCAAGGCTTGAGTCTTTTTCAGCTTAGGGAAAATTTCTTCATTGATTACTTCTTGCGATGTGTTTTTCTCCCTTCAGAAACCTATTAGGTAGATGTTGACCCTTTATGCTTGTTAGTTTTTCTCTCATATTCTCTCTCTTTGTCTTTTGCTCTGTGCTTTAGAAGATGTCTTAGACTATTTTTCACACTGCTATATTGAGTTTTAGTTGTTATTTAGCCCTTCTGATTTTTTTTGAAACCCCAAAATTATGTTTTTCTCCAGTTTTCCAGAACTGTTTCTTATTTTCCAATTGCTGTTCTCATCCACTTAAAAAGAAAACTTTCTGCCATTTGTTTGATGCTCTCTGAGGATGCTAATTAGAATTAATCAAAAATCTTCTTTTTAATGATCTGTGTTTACTTAGCGTGGTGTGATTCTCAGACTAGCAGAATCACCATCATCTGGGAACTTGTTAGACATACAAAATCTTGAGCCCCACTGCAGACCTCCTGAATCGGAAGCCCTGAGGGTGGCGCCCCGCAGTCTGTGTTTTTAGCAGCCCTCTAGGGCATTTTGCTGCATGCTACAGTTTGAGAACCTTGGATCTAGAGTTTTTTAAAACTCTAATCTGCTAATGGCACCCTTGTTTGTTTTCTAGTGTGGTTATGTTTTTTATTTAGTTTTAAACTATTTTTTCTCTTGTCTCATTGGGAATTTGGAAGAGAAGAGAGATGATCACTTACGTTTAGACAACCTTATTGAAGTAAGAGGCAGTGATATATTTTTTAAAATAATTTTCATTGGGGTACTTAGTTACCCTGGAGAAGGGACCTCATCTTCCTTAAAGAAGGGAAGAAACGGAAGACTCAACGGGTGGGAAGGTATATAAATTGGTAGGTGTGGGGATCTTTTAGTTTGGTTGTCATTTCGTTCAAAGCTTTGAGTCTTAAGGTCATGTGAAGCAACTATGTAATGAGGGATCAAAGGATGAAAACAATGGTTGAAAAGGGGTTGATTCCTTCGTGTTAAATGTTGCTAGTTTTGATGAGATGGTAGCTTCGAAATTTTTTTCTGTTTCTGTTTTTTTCTTTCAGGGAGCAAGGATGAGGGCAGCTTCATCTTTAACGCTTTATATATATGACAGGGAAATTGGCAACAAGAAAGGAAAAGCAATCAAACTTTCCCTGGGCCACTTCTTCAGAAAGCATTTAGTTTCCTTAAGTGTTTTTGAACGTGTTTGTAAAATCTTCCTTGGGAAGGTCCTCAGTCTTCTGTGAACCTGATGAAGGTGTTTCTTTTGTTCTTTCTTGACATTTTTTGTAGCGAAGTTAGTATTGAAATTAAGAAGAAAGCCAGGAAATTTGAGCAGCACGTTGTGATTCTCAAAGATAATCTGACATAATACAGTATTTTATGTTTGGCTCCTGTCTTGTCCTCTTTAGTTAATTTATGTATACTTAAAGATCAATTTCATGGGACCGGCCCCGTGGCCGAGTGGTTAAGTTTATGTGCTCTGCTGCCGCGGCCCAGGGTTTCGCCAGATCGGATCCTGGGCGTGGACGTGGCACCGCTCATCAGGCCATGCTGAGGCGGTGTCCTACATGCCACATCTAGGATGACCCACAACTAAAAAAGATACAACTAGGTACTGGGGGGATGTGGGGAGAAAAAGCAAAAAAAAAAAAGATTGGCAACAGTTTTTAGCTCAGGTGCCAATCTTAAAAAAAAAGATCAATTTCATATAGCTTGTATACTTTAACAGTGTTTTTGATTAGAGAGCAGCATGTTTGTCTTACACTGTGAGCTGCTAGAGGACTGCCTGCGTATAGAAAAGAAGAGCTATGTCTGTTCTATATGATGTATATGTATCTGGCCTAGTCTTATACTCTGTATTTCCCAACTTAAGATTTTATTAATATTACACTTATTTAGAGAACATATTTGGTCTTTAGGGGGAACTCAAGGTTCCTCCCAGCCCTTCGATTTGCCTGAGCTGATACAGATGGCTTAGGTCGTTGTTGGGACGTGGTGCTAGGATATGTTGCTTTATGGAGTTAAGAACTCCAGGTGGGATGATGTCTTTGGAGCCTCTCTAGTGACTCATTGCCATGGAGTCTTAATTCCACGGAGTTTGTATTCTAAGAGGGGCCTTTGGCTTGCTTCTCCTTAGGCCAGCTTTGCTCCAGACCTTGCTAACTCTTTTCTCCTATCTTTTCTGTGGGTTGGTGCTTGCCCCTTTTCAGCATTGGAGTGGGCAGTTCTGATAAGATTAAGTTGTAGGCCTAGGGAAACAGGTCCAGGAAGTTATTCATTTTACTTTTAATGTTGGCTTTAGTAATCTCTAAACTGGATTGTGTAAACCCCCGGGGGGGTATGTACGATAGTCCACTGGGGATGTGGGAGGGAAATTTTTCTTTTTCACTTGTGTTAATTTATTTTGTTTTCTTTTTATTTTCTTTTTTTTTTAAAGATTTTATTTTTTTCCTTTTCCTCTCCAAAGTCCCCCGGTGCATAGTTGTATATTCTTAGTTGTGGGTCCTTCTAGTTGTGGCATGTGGGATGCCGCCTCAGTGTGGCTCGATGAGCGGTGCCATGTCCGCACCTGGATTTGAACTGACGAAACACTGGGCTGCCTGCAGCAGAGCACGCGAACTTAACCACTCGGCCACGGGGCCAGCCCCATTCACTTGTATTAATTTTTTTTTTTTTTTTTTTAAATTTTTTTTTTTTTTTAAGATTTTATTTTTTCCTTTTTCTCCCCAAAGCCCCCCGGTACATAGTTGTGTATTCTTCGTTGTGGGTTCTTCTAGTTGTGGCATGTGGGATGCTGCCTCAGCGTGGTCTGATGAGCAGTGCCTTGTCCGCGCCCAGGATTCGAACTAACGAAACACTGGGCTGCCTGCAGCAGAGCACGCGAACTTAACCACTCGGCCACGGGGCCAGCCCCTCACTTGTATTAATTTTTATCTTATCTTTTAAAATCTGTGTTTTTTATGTATGCTTTATAATACTATATTAGTATAGTAGCTCTAATATAATTTGTAAACAAATATATTAACATATATGGATGATGTATGTTTAAACATCTTTTACTGATTGGGTGCATGATCAGAAAAGTCTGGATGTCACTGGCCTAGACAGAAGGATTTCTGGGCTGGATCATATGCCCAGTTGAAAAGAAGACTACTTTGTAGCTTGAGGTCAAGGCTTTGCAGGAATTGGGTGTGGATTTTCCCTGCCTTTTCCTTGCTGTTTGTGCTTTCCTTTGGTGGTGTAGAAGGTGATATTGCAGAACAGAATTTGGGATAATGTCATGTGTGCCCTGCATCTAAATATTGCATGCAGTGTGTGTTGGAGCTGGCTCATGCTTGTTTGTGAGACCCGATTGTTAAATTTTTCAGGAATTTTTCAAACCAGTTGATATCATGTTGTTAGCTTGAAATAGTCCACTGTGGGAGTATTTAAACCATGGAAATTGGCAAATACTGAAAGTCAGACTCCCTACCCCACCCTGAGCCAATTGTTAAACATTTACTGGCATACCACTGAGCATACATATTGACAGTCATATTTCTTGATTTTTCTTTTTTCTGTCTTCTTAACCACCCTTATTATGGATCTCATTCTTCCACAGTATAAATTTAATGAACAGTGAGGAGAGCATTGAGAATGGGAGAGGGAAACCTAAAGGCCGCCAGGAACCGTTGATAAGCCCTGTGAGATTGCTGAGTCAATTCATTTCAGTTCAACAAACATTTATTGAGCACCTATAACACTCATTGCCAGACACCCTTGGAATATGAAGAAAAATAAACATGCATTGTGGGAGTTCACAGCCTGCTAAGGTTACATTCACAAAACAGTGTTTTGTGTGTATATATATATCTATATAAGTGTGTATATCTCTGTGTGTGTGTGTGTGTGTGTGTATTTTGGTGGTATATAGCTGAATTAGGTTCAACAATAGTTTCTTCTGTGAGTGAGAAAGTGTTAATTAAAACAACACTTAATAAGGTTTTATTGTGCTTCATAACAGAGTGGACACATTGTGTGCTCTTAACGGTTTTATAATCTAGTGAAGACAAAAGGAAGATAAATGTCTTAAAATGATGAGATATATTCAAGATCAAA